TGTGAGCGGCGGGGGGGCTGGCGGGCGCTGGGATCCCGTGGGGTGCCGGGGGGCTGAGGGATGCGGGGGGGCCGTGGGACATCGGAGTCCCGTGGGGGGCTGGGAGCCCCTCGGATATCGGGGTGATGTGGGAGATCGGCACCCCGGGGGATGCTGGGGTGCCGTGGGGCTTTGGGGGGCTGTAGGATGTCGGGGAGCTGTGGGGGGCTGGGGTCTCCTGGGATGTCGGGGTCCCATAGGGTGTCAGGGTCTCATGGATTATTGGGGTCCCGTGGGGCATTAGGGGGCTGTAGGACACGGGGGACTTCTGGGCTGGTGGGGGGCTCTGGGGCGTTGGGGATCCATGAGATGGTGGGGTCCCATAGGATTTTGGGGTCCCATAGGGTGACGGGGACCCCTGGGATGTTGGGGTGCCATAGGGAGTCGGGGTCTCCAGGGATGTCGGGGTCCCATGGGATGCTGGGGGGCTGTAGGGCAGCAGCGAGCCCGGGAATGTTAAAGTCCCCTGGGACACCGAGCTGCTGTTGGGCACCAGGGCGTCCTGGGACAGCGGGGTCCCGTGGAATGTCGGGGACCCCCGCGATATTGGGGTCCTGTGGGATATCGGGGTCCCGTAGGGCGCTGGGACCCCGAGGGATATTGGGGTCCCGGGGGATACTGGGGGGCCATGGGGCGCCGGGGTCCCGTAGGAAGTTGGGGACCCCTGGGATGCCGGGGGGCCATGGAATGTCAGGGTCTCGTGGGACACCAGGGTCCCGTAGGGCTTTGGGGTGTCGTAGGGTGTGGGGGACCCCTGGGGTTTGGGGGCCCCACAGGATGGGGGGAAGCCGTGGGGCGTCAGGGTCCTGCAGGATGTGGGGGGGCTGTGGGGAGCGGGGGTCCCATGGAATGGGGGGGTCCCGTGGGAGAGGGGGGTCTTATGGGACATTGGGGTCCCATAGGACAGCGGCGCCCCGTGGGGAGGGGGTTCCTCGTGGGACACGGGGCTCCCGTGGAATGGGGGGGCGCCGTGGGACACCGGGCTCCTGTAGGGCGTGGGATTCCCGTAGGGCGCCGGGGTCCCGAGCGGCTCGGGGCTCCCATAGGCTGTGGGGGTCCCGAGCGGTTCGGGGGTGTCGGGGGGCTCCTCCCCCGGGCCGGGGCTCTCGCGGCCCCCCCGCACCCCGAACCCCCCCAGCAGCTGCTCCAGCTCCCGGCGCTCGGCGGCCGTGGGGGGCGGGGGGCGGCCGT